ATAATAAGCATCTAATCCCTTTTAATTTCACTTTATGTTTCTTCAATTTACTTGTAATGAAATAAGTTTACTTAAAAAGACTTTCACGCTAACATTTGTCGAAAGTATACTATTATTTTGAACGCAATTGCACATACATACAAAATATATACACCTACACATCATGATAAACTTTAATTATTGAAATACCAGAGGCATACTATTCCAGCTCACATTCAACACAATATCCAGTCTACCATGTGGTGTACGAATTCAATTTGCATTGCATAAAATAACGCTTAAAGCTTTTTATCGACAACAATAACAATCATAATGCGAATTTCATTTTATAACTATCAGAAGAACACCTTTAATGCCATTAAAACCGAATACAAGATAAATGCTCTCATGCAAATCCGTTGACAAAACCCACAAAATACTTTAAATTAATGACTAAACACCGTTATCTAACATCGAAATGAGTATGTGTGCAAGTTAAAGGTTTTTTTATGTTTCACCAAAAGTTTGCTTTTCATATTTCATGGTGGATAAAAGTTAACTGTTAATGCGTTGATATCTAGTAGACGAGAGTGAAAGTTTTTCACAAAAACGGATGCGCACACCTATACATATATGTATGTATGTATGTATATGTGTGCGTAAATGTTGTGATGGAATTTAGTGAGAGTTTGGTAAAGTTTGTTTGCCAATTAAGTGATTTGACAAACTAAAGGAATTAACCATACATATATATCCAGATTCTTTTATGAAAACTTTCACATAAAGAACTTTTTTTTCTTGACAATATAGGTTTTCATTTATTTTAAAAATCTAGATTTTGCTGCTTTTATGTTGCTGAATTTTCAATTTAAAATATTTTTTTATTTTCTGAAATATTATAAGTTATAAATAAATTTTTATAAAAAATAAAATATTAATTTATGTATCTTTACCAGTCAAATGGCCACCATGGCTACGTTTACAAGAACGTATCATTTTTTAAGAAATTTTCCATCACCAAATCGACAAGTAGCTGCTGTATGTCCTTAATAGCTTGGCAAATTCCACTTTTGAGGTCTTGAGCGCGACTTGGGTCCGTTAGCGTAGACCTTGTCTTTCTCATGTCTCAAGGTGTTAAGTTACAAGACCACAGTGGTCCATTGCGGTCACGACTTTGAGAGATAATGAGGTCTTGAAACTTTTCTCCTAAAATATCGATGGTTTCGTTGCTTAAGCACACGTTGTCCAGATCAATATCATCCAATTCCGGCATTAACAAATCCTTAACCATCTCTCGATAGCGCAATTCATTCCCCGTACCTATTGTTCTAGCGTCATTTTCGAAAAACCAAGTTCCAATGACCCCTTTGGGCCAGAAACTTCATCAAACAGTTCCACGTTGAGGATGAAGAAGATTTTCATAATTATATCTTGAGCTTATTGACTTAGCCATCGCGATGAGGAATAAATTTCGAATGATTTTCACCCATTTCACGAATCCAATCAGCAGAGACACCCTTTCATTGTTGCTTCAGCTACAACATCTCTTCTGATTTTCTTTAGGAAAAAATAATAATTCCGGTGGCAGAGACCATATTCCATTATCTCTCTTGTATCAATCTTATAGAGTAATAAAAATAATCAAACATTTACAACAATGCAGGCTAATTTTTGTGGTTGTGGGTAAAATACTGTTAGTTTATCAAGTGATGTCCTCCTTCTCCATTTATCTGCTTATCTGCACTGAAACAAACTCAATATCACTACTTTGTACATTTTGAAGTTTAATTCGGCGTATGTACATATTTGTATGTGAACGCAGGCGTTTGTGTACACACATTGTACTTTATGAAGCCTAACAACCTTGCGCCTATTAGCCATGACCACAACAATATCAACAAACAATAACAACAAATGCGATAGCAACGACCACATTTCCGTCCCTTTCCCTTCACTCTTGCTACAGCTACTGCCGCTGATACTGCTGCTGCTCAACTGGCAAAATCACACGCAGGCCAAATGCTGCCAGTATTATGTTGACCCAGTGGTCCAGCAATGAATTTATCGCCTCAGTAACTCCCTTTGCTCCAATGAAAAGCTTGAATTTAAGCTAGTATTGTGTAGGATTTTTCCTTTTTTTTTTTTTTTGCTTTTTTGCTTTCAACTTGAACTTTATTTCTCCTTTGTGGCAGCGATTTTTAGGACACAGGCATTTTTGTGGCGAATTTTTGTATTTTTCGCACTTTCATTATTTGCCCGATTATACGTACATACATATGTACATATTGTATATATGTATGTGTGTGTGCATATAAGCGGCTTTTGTTGGTGTAACCGCCGAACTGGATGTTGTTGCGTAACAAACGCATGTTGGCTGTGGTTGGATGTGTGTGATACCGCGTATTCACGCAATAACAGTATCGATTTATGTAGATATTCCTGGAAAGCAAGTTTTGGGTTTTGGGTTGCCTTGTAAAAGCGCATCCGGCAGTTGAATGGGTCTTACAACTAATGGGCTAATGGAGCGTTGTGCGTAGTAGCAAGACAAACATTTCCAGTCCAAATGAGCAGGCTGGGCAAAAAATACTTATATTCCAATTTCATGTAGTAAAAAACTAAATTATGATTTATTTTAAGAATTGCCTTGGCTTATTATCGTTCACCCGCTACAAATTGCGGCTGTGGGCAGCTCGTGCGGGATAATCAAAAAAGGACGTTACAAAGGCAAGAGGATTTCGCCCTATAAATTTTGTTATTAATAAGTGAAATTTTACGAATTTAACATTCGATATGAATATTTAAAAATAAAAAGGTAATTAATTAGAGAATAATAATATTTACGTCAGATAAATTATTAAGCGCTTAGAAAGAAAAATATTTGAGTTTGAAATCATTTAAAATAAAAATTAATATATTTTAAACAAATCACATTTCTGTAGTCTCGATATGTATTTTTATCTACCTTGATATATAGTGGCGCTTTGTAACCACTGAAGCGATTTTTCGGTCGAGTCCTTCTCCAATTTGTGGTTTTTGGAGTTTCTCCAACAAATGGAGGGACCTACAGTTTACACTTAGCCGCCTCCGAACGGCTTATGGTTTTTTTTACGAGGAGCCTTGTTTCATGTCCGAAATACACTTGGAGGGGTAGACGTTCCCTGCCGAGGGGCAACCGTAATTAGAAATCTTTAACTTAAATTTTTAGTTGAATTAATTTTTTATAACTTCTGGATGTTGGTGGCACCGGGATATGAACCCGAGCCCTCCGAATTTCCGTACTCAATGCTAACCACTTGGCTACCGCGGCCGTCTGATATTTAACTATGTCGATGGCCTTAAAAACCATATTTAAATTAATCCTATTTATGACAAATATACACCATTTCACTTGATAACCTTTTGCCATTTTAAAGGTAATATCATTATGCCTCTCTCATAGATATTCTTGTCCTTATTAGCAATAAATTTTCACTGGCTTCTCTTGTGGTCGATTCCGCACCACCCAAATCATTTTGCACAGACAGGAACCGATGGTAACCACTTGGCACGAGATACGTACTGTTAGACCCAATCAAGCTTTCGGCGCTTCTGGCGATACCGATGTATGTGGTTCAACGTTGTCCTGCTGCTGAAAGCCTGATATTTGATATTCTATACACTTACGCACAAATAAACTTTGGCACAGAAAATCAACGGAATCGGAAGTTTTCATCAAATGAAATAAACAAATTAAAAAAAATTAAAAAATAGAAAAATCCTTCACAGCTCTCCCTATTGATACGCACTCGTTTAATAAAAATACGATAAGTAGTCTGCATAAATTTGGTTAAATTTCAACGTTAAATCTCCTCTTTTAAAGCAAAAAAGTCTCATAAAAAATATAATAATTTTAGATCACATAATCTAGGAGGCCAGTTCTGATTCCCTAACGAGAGAATACACGGCCTGGAAATGTCTAATGCAGTAATTGAAATGTTTGACAGGTGGCACAGTTGTTTTGAACCCACATATTGGCCGGATTAATATCAAAAAGAACTATGTAGTGTGGGTTACAAAATGCTCATAACGGGTACCAGTATCAATCACCTGCTTGCCCAGCGTCAATTTCAAAAACGGCTGGTTACATCCACCAGCCCAAAATCCACAATAACCAGTGACTCTTTGTGGATAATTTTGTTTTTCGACAATTCCCCGGGGTTTCTCAAAACACTTAAAGCGAGATTTCGGTAATTAACAAACACATAAAAATTTTTTTAATTGATTAAGATGATTTTGCTCCAGCCAATCAGCATCTATTTGTTTAGCGAATAAACGTTGAGAGCTCCTTGAAATCTGCAATTCTTGCTTACGACGCAGAATTAAGATTCCTGGATTTGTCGCCGACACTCCCACGCTCTGCTTCGATATTTCGTTTCCAGGAATGTGAACCCCTTCGAGTGAATTTCTGACATGAAATAAAAGTTTCACACAAAACTCCATCGGCCGGTGGAAGGCGGTTTTGTATAAGCTCTAGATCTCTTCATAAATTAGAGCAAGAAAATCGCTTCAGAAGTTACAAAGCAATGTAACGGACATTTTAATTTCTAACCCTTTTTTGACTCAAGATCAAATATTTAAGGCCTTTATCAACAGAACTCAATCAAAATTTTTAGAAATTACTTTCCATTGGTGCTGAAGTCCTACAAAAACTTACTGAGGTAGGTTTAGAAATAAACTTGCCACCCTTGCGTGTATTAAAGGTTCCAATTTTCGGCCGATCTGTGGATTTAATCTAAGTATCAGCCGAAAACCTTAATATTCCTTATTTGTTGCAAAATGTTCACAATTTCTAGAGAGTTTTTCTGTCTAATATTTTAATTAGAATTCATTATTTATTTTTAAAATTACTTCAGAGACTTGACTTGTTAAAATTAAGATAAATTTTTTACTAAAATCTTTGATTTGTTATTTTACAAAAAAGTTATTTGTTTCTTTCATTCAAAATTGTTTATCTTTTTTCTCTTTTCTTTTTTTTTTTGCAGAAACCAAAACAATATGTGGTGATGTGCCGCCACACTACTGGGAAACACCCTATTCACAGCCCTATTTTGACAACTCGTCGAGACGGGAAGTGACAGCGACGGTCGGGCAGGCTGCATTACTGCATTGTCGTGTACGCAATTTAGGCGATAGAGCGGTAAGTGGATGCACATCTAGAATGCAGTTTTATTTATGTATCTGCGCTAAAAATTGAATTTCTCCTTGGACTTAATAAGTTATTCATCCGAAGAGCGGCTTAAAATATATACTTTGAACAGCTGAATACAATCGGTTAGAATTAGTGATTCCGCGGAGATGAAAATTGTAATATGTAAAGAGCAGTAAACAGAAGAAGGCACTAAAAGTAATTTCGAAGAGAAATTCAAATTAAACTACTTTAAAGAAAAAATAATTTATATGTATGTACATGCGCCACCCCTCATTCCATATGTATTTATGAAGGCAACTTTACTTATTTTTTAACAGAAGATTTCAAGGTAGCCAGCACAGAAACTTACAAAATTAAAAATACTCGATATTTTTAACAAAAGCTGAGAAAAAAAGTTGAACAGAAATTCCTTTACAAAAGTAGCTCCACAAAAAGAACACAGATAAAGCGCATTGAAAACAATGCGAAAAGGAAGTGGGCAAGGAAAAACTTAAAACACAAAAGATTCGAACAATAAATAAAATAATATGCAATACAAGCAAATATATACAAACACACATACAAACACATACATACATATACACAGTGCTAAGTAGTTTTATATTTATACATCTACATAAGTCCACGTATCTGCATAATACCAGTCAGCCAACATAATTGCTTTTATATATGTATGTAAGATAATATCTACAGACCTTCAGTCCAACACGGGCACGTGTGAGTGTACATATGTGTATATATGTAGATATATAATATATGTATTTGCATATACATATATGCAAGCAAACTGTAGAGCCGTCGCATCATCGCCGCCGCGAATTATCATGCGGGCTGTTGGAAAACTATGGCAGGACCACAACAGTAAAAGCCCGCGTAAACCGCGACCGACAAAAAGGTGGCCGCATTTTATTGTTGTGTTTAAATTTTGTTGGCGCAACACAATATACAACCGCGCAAAATTTTTGTTAGTAAACGCGGGTGTATTTGTGTTGAGGCGATAAAAACGTGGCAAGCAGCAGTGAAAAACAATCAGAAAAAAAATTAAAGCAACCAACAAACAACAGCAATTTACAAACAAAGGAAGCCGCATTGTTGCATCAAACATACACATATATATTCGAGGACATGAGTGCAACGGTGAAGTGACTTATAGTAAAATTAACTAGTTGGTAACTACTTTAAAAGTGGCATACATGATTGTACATAAATTTCTTTCTTTTATGCAACTGATAGTTTTCGGTCAGCATCGTGCTAGTTTCCCACTGGTCCAAAAAACTACAATAATAATAAATGATTAAATATCATGAAAGTACAAAGAGTGAAATCAAATTGTCAAAAACACATCTCATTTTTATTTTGAACGAAATTACCATCTTTTCTTTGTAGTGTTTTTTTTTGTTCGTTGTTTTTTTAAATATTTAATGTCATTATTATCAGAGGAACTCTACAAATTTATTAAATATTTACAGAAAAGTTACAATAAATGTTCTTCAATGGTTTTCTTCATTTGGTTTTCTGATGGATTTTGGATGCTGATTTGGGGGAAAAAATTTTTGATAGCAAGAAAGTCTCTGCGGTTTTCGGCCTTAGATGGTGTTGATACATTTATTTCATGCAAAACTAATCTAAGCTTGTCAAACTAAAAAGTTGGAAAGAAATGTAATTTCAAGCAAAATTTTTGTAAAAACAGTTCTGTAAATCGTCATTTGTGCGAGAATTTATTAGGACTCGAATCCGAGTAAAATTTCCGAATATTGAATTAATTAATACTTTTTTTACTGTGAAAATTGTGCAAAATGTGACAAATATTTTGTGAGGCCTACGGCTAGAATGCTTTAAGTCAAAGATGGGCCCAGGATTTGCATGCCCGACTCCGTGTCGGAAGTTGTGACGTCAAAGAAATATCACGATCTGGTCGAACAGTCACTTAATTGCCAATAAATAGCCGAAATTCTACAACCAGCGAAGTAAAACGGCAACGCAAGCGATCAAAAAAAAAAAGCGAAAGTGATGGGCATCACTCAAAAAAGCTTACTGCTAGGGTGCCACAAACATTTATGCAAAAATATTGGATGGAGTCTCAGTGAAAAACTTTAAAATGCAAAAAATTCAAATTTTTCCTGATAACGGTTATTTAAGGGCAGGCGATCGTTCACAAACGAATTCAAAGCCTGAAATGACTGCAGACAAGTTGACGCTGAGTGTACAGTGGGGTTGAAAAGAAAATGTCTCTTATGAGTTGCTACAACCAGAATTGATTTTTTATTTTATTTTATTTTTATGGAAAATTTGATTCGATTTGTATAATATTAGCGAAAGAGTATTCAAGATTTGGCAGTGTTGCATCTTTATTAGTCTTTTCAAGTACAAAAAATGGCATATCTCTGGCTAAAGTTGGCTCTTAGACTAGACTATACATTTAGTATAATTTATTTTGCCTTTCCAGCTTTATAATCATACTAGAACAGCAAATTCAAAATTTCCGGAAAAGCACACGAAACAAGAGAAATGATGTATTAGCCTCAAAAACAAACAAGGAGATGTTTTTATTTATGTATTTGTTTATCTATACCTGAGGATGAGCCAGTTATATTGAAGACAGATAATTTTTTGGTCTGTGTATAGGGAAGTTAATAAAAGCAAAGCTGCTAAAAAATGTCATATGGATATGTGGAAATCTCGCAAACACTACTTCTATTCGAAAAGGTCATGATGTTTTGAGTTTACTTAAGAGAAGAATATTTGCGAGCGCAGCAGATATACACATACATTCACAATCGTAATTTGCACTTAAAGATGTTCAACGATCAGCAATCGGATAATAAAGGGAAAAAGAGTTTGTCTATTTGAGTTACATTAAATATTAAAATGAAAATAATAAATAAATCTTTCATATTACATTTAATTTACAAACCAATTTATGATCACAGTCACACTACTATAATTTCGGTCTAGTAGTTTGCGTGAGCTTTTCCTGCTCTATTCAATACCTCAGTTATAACCTATAGTACAGGTTGTATCAATGAATGTATGTATGTTTATACCTTACTTCGAGTAAATAAAATATCCTTTTGTTCTTGTAAAAGTAATTGCATGTAAACTTTTTATTTTTAACTGTCTCTCTGTCTGTTGTGCGTTGTCAGCTTCGCATTCACCTTGGCGCATAAAATTCAGTCATAATGCAAACTAATAATTTAAGGCAATTTCAAAATTGTACTGAACTGCCTTTGCGTGTGTAAAATAATAAGTGTAATGTGTAGTAAAAAAAATTTCACTTTACACTCTCCGTGATAAATGCCGTTAATGCTTAGTAACATATATGTATGTATGGAAATGCATATGTACATTTAAACGATTGTTAGGCCATTAGGTTGTACAAAATTAATATAAGTAGACAATATGAAATGTGTTTGCTTTCTTTTAAATTCTAAAAGCGTGGCAATGCAAGATTTGAATAATTTAAAAGAAGTATGATAAAACTATAATTTTCCATCCACATGCCCAATATCGGTTTTTTGTAGTGAGATCCCTTTAAAGACTTTTAATAAATTTTGCATTATTTTTTCATATCAAATTGCTTTAATCAGACTTTTTAGTACACTTGATCCAATTTGACTAGCCAACAAAGAAAATATCTGTCTATACATTTTTCGGTCAGTTAACGCTTGAAATTATCGAGGATTACCAACAACTCAATAACCATGATATTATTAATTTTCGCGGTTAACTTGGCGATAAATAAAATTGGCGCTTGAAAAGTGCTGATGCGGCTCTCGGCAGAGCTCCTCCTCCAATTTGTGGTCTTGCGCCTTGATGATTTTACATCAAATGGAAGGACCTACAGTTTATACTAAGACAACTCCGAACGGCTGATGGTTTTTTATGAGGAGCTTTTTTGTATCATGTCAAAAATACACTCGGAGGGGTCAACATTCCCTATTGAGGGTGACCGCAATTACAAATTTTTAACTTAATTTTTTATTTAAATTTATTTTCTATAATTCTTAGGTGTTCGGGATTTCGAGTCCTGGCTTCCGAATGACAAGGTTGCCAAGATCAATGAATATTCGAGAATAACGAATGGAATAATACAACAGTAGAAGGCTGAAATTCATTCAGCGGTGGAGCACTCGCCAGGATACGTTCGATCCCGGCTAGAAGAAGTCTAATAAGGAGATGTGATGATCTCCAAAACGGCTTTTACTTCTACCATTTCTTATGTGTGGTTCAACGTTATCTGTTTTGGGGTTTCGGGAATAAACTTAAATAAAATGCATTGGAAATATTTTATTCTTTCATGAAATTTCTTTTTTCTCTCGATTGAATTGGAAGCAATTTTCGACCCCTTTTTGACTACCTATTGGACCTTATATCGGCCGTGACTTGACGAATGTTGGTTTTTAAGTGTTCAAGAGCTGAAGTTTGTTTATCCGAGACGAGAGATTACACAGCCGGAAAAATTATCTAGGATAAAGCTTGTATTGTGTGGCATGTGTCCCGTCTTTGTAAAACTAAATATTGTTGAAGTCGTGTTCTACAATCGCAGTGCAAAAAGAGTCAGTTGATCAGCATCACAGCGTCGCCATTGTCGTTTTCAAAGAAGTAAGGTGCCATCACACCTCAGCGGCAACATAAGGGGATATAAGGAAGAGGACGTAAGCCAGACCCAAATGAAGAAATGGAGCTACAGAATATTAAAAAAACTCATAAATATGTTTCTGACATGAAAATTAATCTGACCAATAAAAATCCTTTTACTGTTCGGAGGTCATAAGTATAAACTGTAGTTCGCACCGTTAAGTTTGGAAGGCATTCTTTCGCAAAACCACAAATTGGAAGGTGAATTCGGCGGGAAATCGCATCAGCCGTAACAAAGTGCTAATTATATAAATTCACTAAACATGTTCTTCAAGTCAGCTCAAGTATTTTTGTAGCTTAGTAATTTTACTATTTGAATCGCATTATTTTCCTTAATTTAATGGATTAATATATATACATATTTAACAATTTTTCAAGTCAGTTTAAAGTAATTTTAATAATCGAATTCTTTTTTGCACATTTCCAAAGTAATCAAATCATTTTTTGAACTACATAAATAATACGTAAAAAAAAAATTTAGTATGCGCAGCACTTTTTTATCTCTTTTGAATTGCACAAACTCATAAAAGTTACACAAACACACACACCCATACATACGTAAGCATATTTATGGCACATCAATTTATGCAAAGTAAGCATAATTTCTTATAAGCCAACAATTCGTGTATAAAATTCTATTTTAAAAAAAAAAACTTTACACAAAAGTTAACGGTGAGGCAACCTTACTGAAAGGCGTCGTTAATAGATGTGCGGCAAACTCTCTCTCTCTCACCCACACACATACTGGCTTATTAAATAATAAAATGGTTTCAGCTGCTCAACTTTCCGCTCTCACTAGAAAGAGAAGAAGGACCTCGGAAATGGAACTTGCTAACATGCAATGGGGGTTAAGTTATTATTGCGCTCTGAAGATATAAAAAATCCTTAAGAAAAAAACCAATAAGTCTTATTTTGAAATATTGGAAAAATAAAGGCATAGTCTTTCCGGTATTCCCACGTTATTATAATGCAATCGTATATAAGTATATACGTGCGCTGCTGGAAAGGTTACACCTTTTTATCCTTTAGGTAATATTTTATGACAACCATTTCGCCATTAAAAGCAATATAAGCTGCTTGAAAATAGAAAATAAATAAGTATACAAGCTTCGTATAACAGTTCCGCCTAGTGTTAGCAAGAAGGAGGGAGAAAAAGAGATATTAAGCGGGATTGAGGTTAAAACTGATATTAAATGAAAAAAAAACCACTTTATTGAAGTGTTACACTATCGGCCCATAAAATTTACATAAACGCATTGAAGGCTTAAAATATTCATGGCATGTGAAGGGTCAGCCATTGAACAAGCACACACACACATGCCATTATCTACATGTATTACAGTGTGCCTTCTTTGATTATTACCCAGCAAAAAAATTAACAAAGTTGGATTAATCGCACTGCATCGTCGCATACTTTTAGTTTATTTCTCCTTTAAAAAATTACATACAACAAACACACATTCATTATAGTAGAGATTTAAAACTGAAAAATTAGTTTGCCTTCAAAATATATGGTTAGAAATTGACAAAAAATATTTTCAATAAATAAGAAATTTCTTCAGTAGTAGATAGGAAAAACTAAAAACAAATAAGTCTGAGCACATTTTATATAAATAAACAGTGCATTGGGATGTAAATACATAACTATAAATAATGATATTGACCACTTTTCTACCGGGTTATCCATAATATTATACGTGCATTCATTTTATTTGGTTAGGTATACCAACACACGAGTGGGTACTTGGGCGGCATAGAGGCCACTAGACAGCCTGTTTTAGTCATTAATAGATAATGACATTTTGAGCGTGAGCTACTAAGCTATTAGAGGATAGAGTGTGGCGGCTTGTGCTCATAGATATATCAAAGTGTCGCATGTTTCTGTGTGTAAATATGTATGGGTATTAAATTATTTGTTTCCAACGTAAAATCGGCTTATAAATTTAACAAGCACATATAGGAAAAGTTTTCATAGCAAACGATTATTATGATCGCATATATACATACATTTGTATTAAATGTGTATAAATTAGGTATACCTAAGCTAATAATAATATTAATGCATACGGTATTGCTATATGTTTTAACTAATAAAATATGTTGCACATTGACAGCTCCAAAAAGAGGATTTTAATCAATTTATTATGCAAAAAAAATTGGAAGAATTAGTATTAACAACTTGGCTATTATCAAAGTTACTGTATTAGAAATTTTAATACAAATTTATTTAATTTTATTATATTTTATTTTATTTTATTTTATTTTATTTTATTTTATTTTATTTTATTTTATTTTATTTTATTTTATTTTATTTTATTTTGTTATAATTTATTTTATTTTATTATATTTTATCTTAGTTTAGCCGATTTTATGTTAATTTATATTATTATTTTGTTTTATTAATTTTTATTTTATTACATTTTATTCTATTTCACTGCATATTATTATATATTATAATATTTAATTAAATTATGACATTTTATTTCTATTAATACATTTTACTATTTTTGTTTTTATTTTTAATTTGTTTCCAATTATCTTTTTTTTAAATTTTTTATACTTTGTTTTGTTTTAATTTATTTTATTACTATTTATTTTTTTACTATATTTTGATTAAGTTTATTTTATTATATTTTATTTTATATTATTTTATCTTATTTTAATACATTTTATTTTATTAAATCTTGTTTCTTAATTTTTTTTTTATTACATGTTATTTTTTTATTATATTTAATTTTCTTTCTTATTTTTATTTTTATTATTTTATTTTCTTTTTTTTTAGTTTGTTTTATTTTATCTTATTTTATTTTATATTATTTTATTTTGTTTGAGTTTATTTTCTTTGAGTTTTATGTTAATTTATTTAACATTTTATTTTTATTTTATTTTTTTATCTTATTACATTTTATTTTACTTGAATTATTTATTTCCTTAGGCTTGAGTTAGTATAAATTATATATGAAAGGCAAATCATAAGAATATTCGGTACTGCCTATTCAACAACTGGATATATTGTATATAAAAATTATGTTCAATTGCTCAATAGTATACATCCAACTGAGTACTATGGAGCATTTATTCTTTTAAATGCAGATTATGAACACTGCCAATCACATTTATAATTCTCATTGATTTAAGTACTTAGCACGCACTTACAAGTAATCTATTAAATGTACAAGTGTGCTTCGTACATACACGTATGCATTCTCATGGTAGTAATACTACATGATGTGTTATTGTAATTGTTTTTGCCTTTGCAGGTATCTTGGATACGTAAACGTGACTTACATATACTGACCGTTGGCATACTCACCTATACGAATGACCAACGCTTTCAATCGCTGCACACCGAAGGCTCCGATGAGTGGACATTAAGGATATCTTCGCCACAGCCAAGAGATTCCGGCACCTATGAGTGTCAAGTGTCTACAGAACCGAAGATAAGTCAAGGATTTCGACTGAATGTAGTTGGTAAGTTTCAAGTGATTTCAGCCCTAGTGCATGCGCACTGAAATTTAATATTTTATCATATACATATACGTGTATGTGCTGTACTTGAAAATGTCTGTGAATGTACTTTGATGATTGTGTTTCTGCGAATCACGTGTATATCTATATTGAAGAAGGAGTGCTGTGAGCCATTAGATATATAATTCAAGTCTATTCCCACTTTTTGCTTTCACAGCAATTAGAGAAAATAAAAATAATTGCTACATACAATATATTTCAACGTCTAATTGTGAGCTACTGAAGTTCAGTGGAAAATGATTAAGAGATATGAAATATATAAAGAATTGTTTCATATTAAATTTGACTGTAAGAACTGTATAGATTTTAATGTTAAAAAAATGAACTGACTTTTCTGTGGCTAACAAAAAATGGTTTTTTTAAACCAAAGAGAGTGCATTTCTAGTGATATTCGAGATTTTCTCTAAGTTGTAGCGCAATTAAATCTTTATCGCTGAATCATCAAAATTTGCTCGGTCGTGACTTCATTTGCAAACTCGTCTGCCGTGTATTTGAGAGAGACAGCGTAGGTTTCCTTGAGATAATACTTCCGCCAACTCTTGCAACGAGCTTTACGCCAGCCGTAAAAGTATACCTCAATTCAAGAGATTTTAGAGTTCTGTTCAGTTATTGCCGTTTGGGAGCTTGCATCATATGTTTATTAAATGTGACAAGAGTTGAGCGAGACTGATCAATTTTGTCATTTATTAAATTGCACCTTTCACAAAGCCCGGGGGTAAGATGTTTAACACAACATTTAAGATATCTATCAGCTTGGTATTGCGTGCAACGCTACAAGTACTCACCATTTTCGGGTTTATTTTACCTATAAGATTGACGTTAGCGCTTTCAAGCCTCTTAGTCAGGGTATTAGTTTAATTTGGTGAATCTTAAATCAAGCATGTATGAATGAACTAGTATCTAACTAGTATGATGCTGGTGCCTAAATGGACACGTAATAGCTCGAGGAATAACGTCAAATTGCTCGCTGAATATATACATATATATATGTTCCACATTTAATTAGGGTGCGCAAAAGACTTCTACCATTACAGTAATTTTTACAATTTCAAATTACACAGTGTCGCATGGTCAAAAACTATGAGTTCCACTTCAAACTTTCTTCAAAAACAAGTAAACAAAGAAAAGTTGCAACTGACACTTAATTTAGCGTGCAAGTAAATATTAAGAAAAAAAGGAGGAAAAATGCAAAAAGCAGTGCAAACAAACAAATTAACTCGACCCTCTCTGTGGATTGTTGATTTCTCTCACACTTTCTTTCTCTTATTTTCATTTACGTGCAGACAGAATTTCTTCGCTTTTATTTCCCTTACACGCTGTAAACTTTCAACTGCTGCTTTTCCATTGCCTTTCCATACTTTGATTGTTTTTGTTGTGTTGCATGCATTTCATTACCACATATTTGTATCCATACACCTTTGAATACATTTGTATATGCGTATGCATGTGTGTCTGCTTTCAATATAATGACTTCCTTCTTTTGTTTTCTTCATTTTTCTTCTTCTCTCTTACAGTGTCGCGCGCAAAAATCCTTGGCAATTCGGAGCTTTTCATCAAAAGCGGTAGTGACATAAATCTCACCTGTCTCGCCATGCAATCGCCCATACCGCCCTCCTTTATTTATTGGTATAAGGGTAAGCGTGTGATGAATTATTTACAACGAGGTGGCATCAATGTCATAACGGAACGTTCGACGCGCACCAGTAAATTATTGATAGCCAAGGCAACGCCAGCCGATTCGGGAAACTATACATGTTCGCCGAGTAGTTCAGGTAAGGTCTTAGCCCACAGCACTATCATCAAAACCACCACCTCCACCATAATATCAACAATAACAGCAACAGCATACAAAAATTGCAAGCGAAGCGCGAAACGCCTTTTTATCCTTTGCCTCTGTATCAAACCAACGCTTTTGTATGTGTATGTATATGTGTATGTATCCTTGTGTCAGCGGTGCTTGCGGTGATACGCTCTGGTGCGATGTGCCCTAGAAATGCCACATTATTCACATAGATAAATGTCATGCGTAAACAAGCAATTATGTCTGAATATAAGTATGTATGTGCCCATGAATGAGTAAGGTGTCTTGTGGTGGATGTGGCGGCTTTATGCTGACAATTTATAAACTCATAGATTATCTTGCAGCAGAAACGTGTTGCACTACTACTTGTTCTTATTAGTTCTTTTACTCCATAGAATTAGCTAAATATCACTGAAGTTATAAAATAAATATATGTACATATCTATACATATAAAAGGTGATTTTTTAGCTATTATCTTTATGGCAACCCTGGTTTAAACAGCTGATGCATCACTGTCAAACATCTTCAGTTTGGTCTATAATTTAACCTTGAATCGTCTTACAAACTAACAACGCTCGCGTGCTCTGTTAAGAAAGTTAAAAAAAAAATTGTGTTCAGCGACGAAACTCATTTTTGGCTTAACGGTTGCGCAAACAAGCAGAATTGTCCATTTTTGTGTGAAGATCAGCGTTGGTAGAGACCAAACATACTTTGCCATTCATTTTTCTAGTCTCAATTTTGCATTTTGTTCGCTGACATTTTTGTCAACACCGCCTTGACTTTTGGAATTATGTCGCGCGAAATTGAGCTAAATGGAGTGATATTTAATATAACAGTAGTTCTAGAAATGAAACGGCGCATATTCTTAAAAAATGAAATTTCTTTTATGATTGACGAAATCGTTGATGTAAGTGGCAAAAAGTCCTAATACTTATTGTAGTGTATTTGGAAACTCCCACTGTAAAAGACAAATCTTTTGGAATAAAACAATGTGAAGAATTAAGTGGGACTCCTATCGCAAATGCTATTAAAAAAATTATTTCCGATCTACAAAATCCTAGTAAAAATTTGATAGAGTTTGGCGCAGACAATGCTGCAGTTATTAAGAATGTTCTGAATAGTAATTGGAAGCACCTTAAAGCTTTTAATCCAAATCTTTCCGTTTAGCTTGTACTTGTCATTTAAAGAGTCTCTGTTTTGGGACAGCGGCTAAACTTCTCCCTTTTTAAATAGCGGCACAACTTGACTAAAAGTTTTAATTACTTTTCGTATTACTATAGGAGGAAATCTGATTTTGAGATATTCCCAATATATTTTGGCATAACTCAACAAAAAATGTTAAAAAAATATCCTACTCCCTGGCTATCAGTTCAAACTTCAATAAACTGATAAATTTAAATTTGATATTAAAAAAACAGAAAAAATGCTTTCTGCAACAGCTGCTGTGTTCATAAGAGTGTATAAGAGTAAAGTCAATATTTATTAATTAGCAGAAATAAATCGGCATAATACTGGTTCCACAGACATATAAACATATAAACATAAAATTGTACCAATATCAAGAAAATGTGAAGAGCATGGTGTGCAGACTATATGTTTGTATGTCCATGCCAAGATAATATTAATGCGATTAAACCCGACAGTGAAAACCTGAACTAAAGTTTACCGTGAATGGTTATGAGAACAGTTGGTTACAATGACAAATGCGGGGTTCTGGTTCTGGAAGAGGCGTACATGATTTTTTTTTTTCAAAAATTGTTGACTCAATTTTAGTAAAGCGTAGAGAGCAAAACCAAAAGTTTTCCAAAATTTAATAGAATTTTGCACAAAAACAAATAAACTTTTGGGCAACGAAGCCAAGGAAACAGCTCGTTTAAAGGTTACCAACAATGCTGTGGGCACTACCTTTCAGAAATTCATCTAATTGACCCCAAAAAAGCCTAGTCAAGCAATTTTTTTGAAAAAGCTAAAAAGGGATCTTAAATAACAAAGTAAAAACATCAGTTGGTTTCTTAATGCTTTAGATCATAGCAAAAGAGAATTTTCATAAATTAAAATTCAATACGGAAAGTCGTGTTTTAGTGAGAAAAAGTTTTGAAAGTATTTGCATTATTAATTTTTTTTTAGTTCTCTATCAAGTAATAATATAATGTGTAAAGCTTTTCTCAATAGTATTCTTTTGACAGCTCACGCATCAGTCGAGTTATTTTTGTTCGGAATTGTTTCTCATTTCATAATGGAATGTCTTATGCCAGAACAAGCTTTAAAATCGTTGAACTCGACCACCCCAAGCGACAATGCTTTGCTCTATGTACTCTTGAAAAGTTAGAACAAGATCTAACGTTTTAGAGCAAAATTTTGTTCGACGATGAGATCCATTGCGGGTTTTATGGGAACGCAAACCAGCAAAATTGGCACACTTGCAGCAAAGACCAATTTAAAGAGAATCAAGAGCAGCTATTTCATACAGAAAAACAACTGTTTGGTGTAGTTTGTGGGCGGTTGGAATCATCGGTCCATATTTCTTCAAAAATGATGCCGGTGGCGACCGTTTTTGCGGCATGATAATTGACTAATTGATGCCTAGAATTGAAGCTCGTGATCTCGGCGATACTTGGTTTCAACAAGACGGCGCCACTATTCCCACATTGCATCAATAAATGGATGTATTGAGAAAACACTTCGGTGGACACTTAATTTCACGTTTTGGGTAGGTCGATTGCCTGCCAAGATCATGTGATATCTTACCGTTAGACTTTTTCTTTAGGGATATGTTAAGTCTACAGTCTATGCGGGCAATCCCTCTTCGATTTAGGCCTTGGAGCAAAACATCACACGTGTTGTTTTGGTATGGTATGTTTCTGCTGCCTGTTGCTTTCATAAGAAATTAGTATAAGACAGACTGGTAGGTGTTATACTGCCAACTAGTAACATACTAGTACGGAAGTAGCATGCAGGGGGTTTGTATTTTGCCATGACAACTGCTACTTTTCTTTCTTTTTTTAGTCCAATGTTTGATACAATACGTGAACAAGTGACTGAAAGCTCAGCCCACGTTATTGTTGTTGTTATTGATAACCATAGTTTACTTAGGACATAAATATTAACGGACTACAAAGCAACTCAATACCATTGCACGTCCAAGGAATAGGCTGGTAGCAGCAGATTTGTCCATGATGACCAACAATGCAAACAAAAAAAAAAGAAGAAGAAGTGGAAGCAGTGGAAGCGAAGAAATTTAATAACCAATTTTCCCTAGCACAGCTGTGACGTCGTTAGAGAAACTAATGGAGTGTCAACACTCGGGTGATAGAGTAGTAAGATATATACATATACCCATTTACATGTATAGAAGCAAGCGGTGTTGCACTATCAGCAAGAAGTGAGGCTTATAGTAAAAGCAAACCGAATATTTAATAAAAAAAGAAAAAAATCCAAACAAGAAAATGTGCGAAGGTGCAGAAACGGTTTCATATGCCCAATGACTTATTATTAGTACTCTTAGGCACATACAAAATTCTGTCGAAACACACAACGGACACTAAATACAACCAACAAATGCGGTACATGAATGAGTGTGCGAGTTTCCACTTGAAAGCCTACACGGGTCTCACGTTGCAACATATAAATTATCGTCACACTTTTTGGTTTCCATTTGGTATTCTTCTTACCTTCGTTCCAAGGAGACTGAGCAGCCAAACACTTGTAGACATTCACCTAAAAATTGAAAATTAAATTGAAGGAAAAAATGTAGGCAAATTTTCTGAAGGAAACTAGAAACCCAGTGAAGGCGACAAAAGAAATTAAACGAAAATATTTGTATGAAAATACAAATTCCACTTGCTTAGGCTAATAAGCCGAGCTAAAGGACACTTGAGCAACTTCTTAGGAGTGTCAGGCTGGTTTTTTGTGCTGTCTTGGTTGGCGCATTGTATTTCGTTTTCGTTCCTTTTGTTTTTGGAATTCGTTTGCAAGCGGGAGTAAAGCGATTATTTGATAAATAATTTGTTTATCCAAGTGTTTGATGTCAGCCAAGGAATTTATGTCCAAGTTTCTGTTGTTGTTTTATTTCCGTTATTTGTTGCGGCAGGAAAAACAAATTAAATGAGTTCAAACAGAGTAGATCATTGTGAAGGTAAGAGCAGATAAATAATTAGCGGTTGATAAGGTTATCAATGGTTCGGTTACTGAGTGAAAAAAGGCCTCTTTGGGCACATATACAATAGCGGCAGGGTTGTTTTCTGCGATGTCATCCAACAACTGCACCCAGAAGGAGATGAAAAAAATATTGGAAGGTTCTTTCAGATTGTTGATGGTGGGCTTCAGCATTTAACACAAAACGATATTAACACCACCATATTTGGCACAGCCTTGGTTCGAACTTTCTATCGATTGTGCAGAGCATTTATTGCCAAGCTTCTCAAGCTCTTCATACACACGCCTCTGTTCTGCGAATGCGCTTAAAATGCCTCTTCTCATCTAGGTATATGTCACACCCCGCACGTGTAGGCAGACTCCTTTCTTTCCACTGTGACATGTTAAACACCATCGTACCAGCTGTGTTTGCGATCTTATCATGAAGCAATAGTTTTGTTTTCAGCTGTACTTAGGGTGCTTGAAATTCCCTTATTCCACGTATCAGATCAGTACTCTTTCAGAGAGCAAGAGCGTAGCCTTTCTTGTGTTTGTTGAACAGACAGCTACATTTTTGAGCCAGGCGAAGTCGGTTGATCTCAACCCAATTGTGGTTGTTCCGTTGTGAAGGCTTAACTTTCTGACAACTATGCCGAATCTTGCTCACTCTCTCGTTAAAGTCGCCAAACGCAATTTTCACATCGTCTCTGGGCAATGGTGCGTGCATCGCACTTCTTGGACGGCGGTGATTCCACCTTTCTGATCAGTGAGACCATCAACCAGCTAATCATCGGCGCCTTGCCAATTAGGAACCGCACTTTCATCTGATCGTGATC